GGCAGAGGATCCCCAAATGCAGGTGTGAAAAACTTGTTGCATCATTCCCAAAAAGACTCATGGCTGTATTAGCTCAAAAGGTTAAATATATGAGTGTCACAGCAAAGGGTCTGAATACTTATGACCATGTGATATTTCAGTTTTTCTTTTTTAATTAATCTGCAAAAATGTCAAACATTCTGTGTTTTTCTGTCAATATGGGGTGCTGTGTGTACATTAATGAGGGAAAAAATGAACTTAAATGATTTTAGCATATGGCTGCAATATAACAAAGAGTGAAAAATACTTTCCGTACCCACTGTATTTCCATATGCAGCTTACACTTGAAACTGAGACAGTAACCCCATAGTACTCCTTGTAAGTAGGCTGCACCTGTTTCTAAATTAATTAACCAACCAAATAAACACTACTACTACTAAGTGTTTACAAAACCTAACAAATTAAATAAAATAAATAAAAAACATAGAAACAAACCTGGCTACAAACAATATCAATATTAACTCTACATAGTAACTAATGACAAAAACCACGAAGAGTTTTAATAAGAATGATATGTTTTTTATTCATAAATATGAAATAAGAGTGGTTAGCCATTGATAAATGATTGCAACAAACCAGGTTGAGGTTTCCTGCTCCTTGGTGGTTTCCTGCGCCACTGAGCCTCAGGTAACTCTGGACTATACTGACATCTAGTGGCAGTTGTCTGTATTGCAACCACACACAGCATCGCTGCTCTTCCACACAGCTGTCTGTTTAGTCATCTTCACAAAGACATCACCCTGAAATTAAAACAGAGATGTTTTTATTGTCGGTGTACTTCCTGTATTTTTAACCGAATGATGTTTTGAAGCAAAAATGGATCAAATGTTTTTGATTTTTTTTAATAACCATTTCTCAGTAGTAGTTCGGTCAGGTTCTCTACAATCACACGATTTGTAACAGCCAAAGACAGGGCATCCACAGCGTTTTACAACGCAATAGTCTAATTATGCCCGTAAATATTAGGAGTATTGGGGCCACACCGAGGGGGGAAATGAAAAGACAGATTTATTTAATTTTGCATGTCGAACATAAAGTCAAAATGTGAATCGACTTTATTCACCACAAGCAAGCAAATAAAGAAAGAAAGAAATCATGTATTAATTTTGCATGAAAAAAAGCCTCCTGTATTATTGCCACTTCTGTTGGAAAGTTTGATCCCTGCACATTGTGTGCGTAAATTGCGCATGGCAGAAACAAACTTGATATCCGCTCGAAGGATGTTACAAGAAGTTACTTAGAAAACGGAAGTACAATGACACACTAAACTTCCACGGCTGGGTGACACACTAACATGAACTGTATCCTCCCTTCTCCAAAAGTTTAGTTTCTGTTAATTGAGATGCCCGTGTGGAAACTTAACGCGCTGAAAGTTGTAGGTAAAACTGTCTGACAGGATTCAGCTTCTCTGGTGAAGCAACGCGCAGTTCATCATCTTCAGAGTGGTTCTCTGTGAGGAAAGCAAACACCCCGAGACCGCAGGTGAGCGTCACATGACCCAATCTGTTTCACATATATCTTATATTTTCCTGCTGTGTGTCTGTAGGCTTCAATACCGAGTCGCTGTCACGTGTTTTTATCACAAAGATATGACGTCGGTGTTGTTAAAAGAGATTCATTTTTTATATTTTCAGGTTCTTTTGAATCATCATGCCGCCACACCCCGTAATCCAGGCAATCATTGACTTCTCAGCTGGAGCTATAGGTGGGTTAACTGTCTGACTGAAGGTAATATAGAACTATCCCTCTGTGCTCCAGTTTATCTGATCAGACCATGGAACCTCAACAGACTTTATCAAACCTATTACAACAGCAGATTATTTACAAAAACACTACTCTAAATCAAACACAACGTAGGTGGGCATACTGTAATGGCTTTCTTCATGATGTGTGCCTTCATTTCTTATTTTGTTTTTAAATATAATTGTTTTATATACAGTAGTAGCCTGCTGAAGCACGTTTATATGGTGGTGTGCTAAAAAGGGATCTGAGCACACTCCAGTGAGATTCTGTTTAAGAATGAGTCAGTACTCTTCCTGTTCCATTCAAGGGAAATTTTGACTTTGCTCAAGGAGAGATTGCGAGATCAGCTACAGATCATAAACCTTTCTGCTCACCAAGTTTGATTACATTAACCAAGTAGTAGTTTGTAGAGTGTACAGTTGCTCTATATATTCACAGTCATATCATATCATCTGTGTGTGTGGTTGCATTTCTTTACACAAAATCGTACCAAATGTGTGCATCTGTATGGTGGAGCATAACAATAAAAAGTGTACACACTCGTCCCTGGACTCTGCTTTAGGCACGTTTAAGTTAGGACATCAATTACATCTGTCTTGATGAACCTTCCATCTTTTGTAATCCTTCTGCAGGTGGAACAGCTTGTGTGCTGAGTGGCCAGCCATTTGACACCACAAAGGTGAAGATGCAGACATTCCCCACCATGTATCGCGGCTTCATCCACTGTTTTATATCAAACTTAAGACAGGTGGGAGTCCGTGGCCTCTACAAAGGCACAACCCCAGCCCTTATAGCCAACATCAGTGAGAATGCTGTTCTGTTCCTCAGCTACGGCCTCTGCCAGGATGCGATTCGCTTTGTGTCGAGGATGGAAAAGGGGGCAGGACTCAGGTTGGACACTGGCATTTCTGTTTCTGTGTATTATTTAGATTTTACATACGTCCCAACTTTTTCTGATTTGGGGTTGTATCTGGTGTATCCACAAACAGTTAGTGTGTGTGGTGCACCCAGTTTTATCAGTTTATTTTAAACCCCATATGGGGCAGATTACTAGTGGGCAAGTGACCTCTGATTTGTGGTTATGATTGGAAGGGATGTATTTTTCTGTATAAACATTTAAATGTCTCCGATGATATCATTTATAATGCTAAAACCCATTTTTGTGTTTTTCTTTTATTCTTTTTTTCATTGCTAATCAGTGATATTCAGAAGGCATCAGCAGGGTCTTTAGCTTCGATCTTCTCCGCTATGGCAATATGTCCCACCGAGCTGGTGAAGTGTCGTCTGCAGGCTATGCATGAGATGGAAGTATCTGGAAAGATTACGATTGGACAGAGGAGGTGGGTATGGACCCAAAAGAGGTGTTTGAAGAGAGTTTACTTTGTTGATGCACCTTTGACTGAGTAATGTTTTGTGGTGTGACCTCAGCACTGTGTGGACAGTAGTCAAGACGGTGTTGAAGACAGCTGGTCCCCTGGGCTTCTACCAAGGGCTGACATCCACCATCGTGAGGGAGATACCAGGGTACTTCTGCTTTTTTGGGGCCTATGAACTGTGTCGGTCTACATTTGCACAATACATGGGCACGGAGAAGGACGGTATAGGTATGGTTGTTTTATGTCCTCAAATTTAATGAGGCATTTTTGCTAATTAGAACGTGCGCTGTTTGAGATCTTTGCTCATAAAATAATTTTGGTCTCTGCAGGTATTCTTCCACTGATGTTTAGGGGGGGGTTTGGAGGAGCTTGTCTTTGGTTGGTGGTCTATCCGATAGACTGTGTGAAGTCCAGGATCCAGGTGTACTCTTTAACTGGGAGACAACAGGGGTTCATGAAGACCTTCATGAGTATCATACGTACTGAAGGTAAGTTTTGAATTTACATGTTTAAATTGAAATTTAGCCAGATGGCTATGACTCTTAACTCTACATTATACCAGATAATATTTATTCTCTCAAATATTCATTTCTACTTTACTTGTATAGTGCCAAATCACAACAAAAGTCATCTCAGCACACTTTACAAAATAAGGTCTAGACCTTATTAATATTAAAGAGGAAAACCCAACAAATCCCCAATGAGCAGCACTTTGTGACAGTGGGGAGGAATATTTTTGAAGTTTCTACATTCAGACCATATTTGTGACAGCAGGGGAGCACAAATCACTGTTTAAATCACATAACCTTATAATGCTAGTGTAAAGGTTGGTGTTTTGGTAACAACCACGGGTCAGTAGAGAACAGTGCTCACTTGTGCACACACTCGCCCTCTAGACTTTCCCCTTCTGTTCATAACAAGTTTAGAAATTCAAAAATCAGAAATAACCTCTACTCCCTGCGAGAGTTTATTTAAGAGAAAATGATTCTTGAACTATTCTTTAATTATTTGTTTTGTTGTAGTATGCTTTCTAACCTTCTGGGAAAAAACATGCATATTGTTAAATACAGTCTTTGTGAGACTTTGTGGAATTATAGCCACCACTTCTGTTACCCACTATTCACCCTCCTTTGTGTAGTGACTTTAATGTGGTGTAACTGCTTAAAATAGCCATTTTTACCCGTCAGTCTACACTTGGAAATCCATAACGATAAGGCGAAAGCGTGTTTTTAGAATTTCCTGAAAATGTATTAATAGTCAAAAACCTTCATTCAGAAGCTTAATTCAATAAACTGAAGAAGCTCCTTCTTGGTTAAGTCTCTGGATTTGGACAGTTCCATTCTTCCTAGCAGGTCCTCTCAAGCTCTGTCACACTGGGTAGGAAAGTTCTGTAAACAGATCTCCCTGCAGATGGGGTATAAGTCTGGCCATGCAAGGACAGCCAGAGATTTGTCCCAAAGCTGCTATGAGAAGGGGTCTGAATACTGTAAGTGACAGCTGTTGGAGTATTTTTGACACAGAAAGCATGGGAGAGTCTGAAATCTGGAAGCAACACAGACAGTTTAGAAACATTAAGGCTTTTAAAAACTGAAGATAAGTACATAATGGGCAATGTATAGCAGCAGGAAAAGCAAATGGCAAAAACATATTGCATGTAGTATAAATAGAGCAGTCAGCTGTTCCCTTTGTGTGTGTGTGTGTGTGGTTATGAGGATGGAGGGTAGATGGTCCATGTCCATGTTCAACAGTTTAACAGCTTGTTCCGAGGTCGAGGTTGTACAAGGTGACCCACAGCAGTGTGGATGGCAGTACAAACAACTTCTTCTGTAGATCAGTTTGCTTGATGTTCAAACTGGTGTTGGTGCAGAAATGCAGGAATGGTGTGTGTTTTTTATATATGGGCCAAAATCAGTGTCAAAGCATTTGGCTGTCACCAGAGTGAGTGCAACTGGACCATAGTTATTCGAGCAGCTTTGTTTTTTGTTTAGGGATGGGTATGATGGTTGTTGTTTTGAGGCACGTCGGGACGACGGCATGGGTTGGGGGGGATTAAAAATGTTGGTAAAGACCTGCCACCTTGTCTGCACATGCCTGGGAATGTCGTCAGGTCCTGCTGCTTTCCTTGTTAGTTGCTGACCTCTGGTGATCTGGTGACCGTCTGTCCGTAACCCGGGTGTCATGGTCTGCAACAGAATGGACAAAGAATGTGTTAAGATCCTCTGCCAGGGAGGGGTTAGCCTTTTTATAGTTTGTAATGGCCCATAGGCCTTGCTACATGAGTGGATATTAGCAAGCAATGTTAGAAAAGTTTTCCTCTGTCCTGAGTCTGAGCTGCTTTTTTTTAGGTTTGCTCTTGCTTCAGTGTCCTTAGCTATATACAGTGCCTTGCGAAAGTATTCGGCCCCCTTGAACTTTGCGACCTTTTGCCACATTTCAGGCTTTAAACATAAAGATATAAAACTGTAATTTTTTTGTGAAGAATCAACAACAAGTGGGACACAATCATGAAGTGGAACGAAATTTATTGGATATTTCAAACGTTTTTAACAAATAAAAAACTGAAAAATTGGGCGTGCAAAATTATTCAGCCCCCTTAAGTTAATACTTTGTAGCGCCACCTTTTGCTGCGATTACAGCTGTAAGTCACTTGGGGTATGTCTCTATCAGTTTTGCACATCGAGAGACTGAAATTTTTGCCCATGCCTCCTTGCAAAACAGCTCGAGCTCAGTGAGGTTGGATGGAGAGCATTTGTGAACAGCAGTTTTCAGTTCTTTCCACAGATTCTCGAGTGGATTCAGGTCTGGACTTTGACTTGGCCATTCTAACACCTGGATATGTTTATTTGGGAACCATTCCATTGTAGATTTTGCTTTATGTTTTGGATCAGTGTCTTGTTGGAAGACAAATCTCCGCCCCAGTCTCAGGTCTTTTGCAGACTCCATCAGGTTTCCTTCCAGAATGGTCCTGTATTTGGCTCCATCCATCTTCCCATCAAGTTTAACCATCTTCCCTGTCCCTGCTGAAGAAAAGCAGGCCCAAACCAGGATGCTGCCACCACCATGTTTGACAATGGGGATGGTGTGTTCAGGGTGATGAGCTGTGTTGCTTTTACGCCAAACATAACGTTTTGCATTGTTGCCAAAAAGTTCGATGTTGGTTTCATCTGACCAGAGCACCTTCTTCCACATGTTTGGTGTGTCTCCCAGGTGGCTTGTGGCAAACTTTAAACGACACCTTTTATGGATATCTTTAAGAAATGGCTTTCTTCTTGCCACTCTTCCATAAAGGCCAGATTTGTGCAGTATACGACTGATTGTTGTCCTATGGACAGAGTCTCCCACCTCAGCTGTAGATCTCTGCAGTTCATCCAGAGTGATCATGGGCCTCTTGGCTGCATCTCTGATCAGTCTTCTCCTTGTATGAGCTGAAAGTTTAGAGGGACGGCCAGGTCTTGGTAGATTTGCAGTGGTCTGATACTCCTTCCATTTCAATATTATCGCTTGCACAGTGCTCCTTGGGATGTTTAAAGCTTGGGAAATCTTTTTGTATCCAAATCCGGCTTTAAACTTCTCCACAACAGTATCTCGGACCTGCCTGGTGTGTTCCTTGTTCTTCATGATGCTCTCTGCGCTTTAAACAGACCTCTGAGACTATCACAGTGCAGGTGCATTTATACGGAGACTTGATTACACACAGGTGGATTCTATTTATCATCATTAGTCATTTAGGTCAACATTGGATCATTCAGAGATCCTCACTGAACTTCTGGAGAGAGTTTGCTGCACTGAAAGTAAAGGGGCTGAATAATTTTGCACGCCCAATTATTCAGTTTTTTATTTGTTAAAAAAGTTTGAAATATCCAATAAATTTCGTTCCACTTCATGATTGTGTCCCACTTGTTGTTGATTCTTCACAAAAAATTACAGTTTTATATCTTTATGTTTGAAGCCTGAAATGTGGCAAAAGGTCGCAAAGTTCAAGGGGGCCGAATACTTTCGCAAGGCACTGTAAGCTGCGTCTCTGAGCCTAAGCAGATTCCTGGCCTTGCTGTTCAGCTGAGGTTTGTGGACAGGGTAAATGTAATGAATAGAAGTGTCAGCTGAAGTGTAAGTTTATCTGCTTTCAGTGATGTCAGTTAAACAACAGAAGAAAGCTGTGGAAGTGCCAGCTAAAAACTAAGAGATAAACATGGTTGAACTGTTATTGAAAAGTGAGATTTGAAATAAAATGTGTAATACTAGGTCTGTAGGTATGTATAGAACATTTAATATGTACATTCAGTTTTTTATTATGAAAAATCAGATTTTTAGATACTCTATTGGGCAAATGACTCATATCACCTACTGTAAGTGAAATTGTCAAATGGGATATGCTGTAAAATGAGCATGTCCAACTGAAGAATGTCTCTCTCTGTGGCGCTAAAGTAAGAAATTGATAAGCAACACACTGACACTGTTTATGCTGTGGTGCTCGGATTGTGATGACGCTTCTAATGGGCCAACACAGCGGGCTCTAAAGGGATGTTTTACACTGTAGGGTATGAAAATGTCAAGTTGGCACATTTAGTTGAACATCTCATCTGTCTGCACATTAAATGTAGTGAGTGTCAGTGACATGCCGCACCATCTGCTGGTGTAATGCGGACATGCACAGAATAACATGGGCTCAGAGTGTATGGACCAGTTCTAATTCTTGTAACATTTATTTGGAAGTGCAGTGACCGGTGTGGTCTTATGACTTTGAAAAGCCAAAGACTGACATTGCAGATTGCATTTTGACACAAATGCAGGGACCAACGACTGACCTTGCAAGGGTGGTGAAACGTAGTATAAAGTGTCATCTAAACTTGTCACTTCTAAAATATGCAGTATGTAGATACAAAAACTAGATCAGAGTGGGTTAACAGAGGAGTTTAAACTTGCACCGACACCCCAGTGTGGATGTATTTAGTTTCTAATTGTCCAAGTGATTGACTGTCTCTTGCTCAACAGGGTTCACTGCTCTATACTCGGGCCTGACTCCTACCATGATACGCACCTTCCCTGCCAACGGAGCCCTCTTCCTGGCTTACGAGTGGAGTCGCAAGTTTATGATGGAGACAGTTGGTTCCTGACACCGAGGATCTTCCCACTTGAAGCAAATATCTTTCTGAAACACTCCCTTGTCATCTAGTATTTTTCAAAATTTTATTGTCTTAATGTTTTTGCAGTTTGACCTAAAGAATGATGCACATGTTTTTGGCACAGCTGTACTTGAATATCTTGTGAATAACATGAATCCTGTACTGCCCACAATTATTTAAAATAAAGTTTTAATCTTAACATCCATAAGTCTTAGTTTAATGTTTGGAAACAGTATATCTGTGAGCATGTTGCAGTATTGATTGATGTGACTGGGCTGTATCTCACTGCACATTTCTCAGTGAGCATTCACAAAAGGTTTGCCAGCAAAAACTCAGAGGGCAGAATATGGACAGCCAGTTCAACCTGTCCTCTACTCAACTATACCAGTGATTAGATTTATTGCTGTTAATCGGACGTTATCCTTAATTGTATTTGGTGAAGGAACCGGGGGTGGATGAGATCCGCCCCGAGTACCTTAAGTCTCTGGATGTTGTTGGGCTGTCTTGGTTGACACGCCTCTGCAACGTCGCATGGCAGTTGGGGACAGTGCCTCTGGACTGGCAGACCGGGGTGGTGGTCCGTCTTTTCAAGAAGGGGGACCGGAGGGTGTGTTCCAACTACAGGGGGATCACACTCCTCAGCCTCCCCAGGAAAGTCTATGCCAGGGTACTGGAGAGGAGAATTTGACCGATAGTCGAACCTCGGATTCAGGAGGAACAATGCGGAACACTGGACCAGCTCTATACCCTCTTCAGGGTGGCGCAGGGTTCATGGGAGTTTGGATGTGTTTCGTGGATCTGGA